GCGCCGGCTCTTGGTTTCTTGACCGCATTGATAACAGCAGCGGTGGCTGAGGTTCCGCTGGCCTGCGCTGGGGTGCTGGCGAGGAGGGCCAGGCGCTGACAGAAACTTTGACCAGAACTCACCCGTTCAGGCACGACGCGAGTGGGTGATGCGCCCGTGTCCGCCTGATGGCTTTTGGGGGTCTGAGGGTGCTAAATAGCCCCGTGTCGTTCGTTAGGGTTGGGGCTTTTTTTAACGTGCCTTTGACATTGTGCAAATGGAAGTCGCGCGGAGGTTCAGCAAGTTACAGCCTTGAGGTCCTAAAAGCCCAAACGGAGCATCCCCACGCGTGGGGAGAGGGGGGGCGTTCTGCGCAGCGAGGGCTGGCCGGTCGTGTTGGAATCGTCTCTCGAAGGTGTCTTAGGCTATATTGCAGGGGTGATTTTTTTTTTTTTTCCCTTGATTTGTAGCTCTCTCTCGAAGGCGTTGTGCTCATTTTCTTGTGAAGTGCTGATTCTTACGGAGTGTCTTTATTGATGCCAGCCTGGATTTTTGTGCCAAAGGCTCTTTGCAGAGCAGCTCCCCAGCTGGCAACAGCATCTTATACTAAAGACTAATTTTTATTGTATTATTATTGTTATTTTTAATACAGAAGTAGAATTTTCTGGGGCTGTTGACTGAAGCTGCTGCATTTTCTAAATTCTGTGATTTCTTTTTGTGGGTTGATCAGCAGCACCACTGCACCTTCAGTAGCTTAACTACTAGGATGAAACAGTGTTTGAATTGCCTGCCCTTTTCAGTAAAGCTGCATGGACAAGGCTGCTGGTGAATTTTTAATCATAGAATCACAGAATGGTTTGGGTTGAAGGGACCCCCAGAGGTCACCCAGCCCAACCCCCCTGCAGGAGCAGGGACACCTTGAACCACATCAGGTTGCTCACAGCCCCGTCCAACCTGGCCTGGAATGTTCCCAGGGATGGGGCCTCCACCACCTCTCTGGGCAACCCCTGCCAGAGTTTCACCACCCTTATTTTAAAGAATTTCTTCCTTAGATCCAGTCTAAACCTCCCCTGGTTTACTTGAAAACCATCTCCCCTTGTTCTGTCCCAGCTGGCCCTACTAAAAAGCTTGTCCCCCCCTTTCCTCTGGGCCCCCTTGAAGCCCTGATCGGCCGCGCTCAG